AAAAAAAAATTCACATCACTTGTTTTGTGACAATATCTCAAAATGTAAAAGAGATAGCACGTATTTGCTAATTACTTTCTCTATGAATTTCATTGCGCTCTCGTAAACCTCATTTTCTTACACATGAAGTAATCACTTAAAAGTTATCGAACAAAACTCACTCAATTTTCCAAACAAATAATTTTGTCCTGAGATGTGATCATTTCGACGCGCATGCGACGGAATATTTTCGACTCAACACTTTCAGGCGGCAAAACGAAATGTCATAAATTTTTCGAACGGAAAGACAACACATGAGTTTTATTCATTAATGCGCCGATGTTCCCAGAAAAATGTGCCACTAGTCACGCTTACATTATAATATTAATAAATGTATGAGTGAGTAAGGTACAGCTGAATAATTAATCTGCAAAGATGTTCATGGGTATAAGCATCTCTACCTAAGTGAGACTATGAATTCTACAGTGGAAGCTTCTCTTCTATAACCAAACACCCATGAAAGTATCTCTATAATGGAATGCAACCATGAAATTCAGTTGCAATGGAATCGAGATATGCATTATGCCCTCGGTTTCTCGAAGCTGTGGTGTAAAATCATAGGTGTCTGGCCATGGCAACGCAATGAAACGCTGTCCATTTTACGAAGTGGAATTTTCTTCGGAATTCAGGTACAAAAGGATTCGCACCGACATAAAAAAATTTGGTTAACATCACCGATGAATATTTATCACTTCAACAGAATATTTATTCCGCGGTCGAATCAAATGAATACCGTGACATTTTTTATTTTATTGATGTAAAATATTTTATGAGACTCTCCCATTTTTCCTATCATGATCAATTTAATGAAGGTTATTGCGAGTGCATCGTTACTCGAGCGACTGTTTATTCACGGAAACTGTGGATTAATGCCAAATTTCATAGAAGCTTTAACTGGAATCACCGTATTCATGGTAACAGCGATGAAAATTCTCCTTCCATGGCTTCAGCAGGAACGAATGCGTCACATCATTCAGTCGGCGATGGAAGATTGGTCAAACGTTTACGATAAAAGATCACGACAAATAATGAGCCAGTACGCTTTTTTGGGACGTTCAGCTTACATTATTCAAATGATTGCTGCATTTTTAATTGTATTGGAAATGACACTGTCCCGGTCACCGAATTTCACTGTTGAAGAATATAAAAACGATAGTTCCTCAACGCGAAATATCATTTTAGGACCTGCATGCTGGATCACCACTGCGATGCCTATGAGTTTGTATTTGGTGCGATATTATATAATTCTCATTGGTTTATGGTGTGCTGCACTCATATATGCCGGATGTGATGCATTCATGTTTAACATTGCGTTGCATATTTGTGGTCAGTTTGAAATACTGAATGCGAGTGTGGAAGGTGTCAAGTATGAAGACAGTTTTATGAACCAGAGGCGTACAATCAACAATTACGCGAAACGCCATAATGAATTATTGGTACTGGGTCATCAGCTCAATGATATACTCAATGTCATCATTTTTTCTGAGCTCCTCAGCAATGGCTTCCTTATTTGCATTTCAGGTAAAGTATCTTACGAATTTGACTTTAATCGGGGAATGGACACACGGAGAGAAAGATCCGGTAATACCGTAGGTCATGATCTTTAATTTGTTTATCGGGTAATTCATTATTTCTGCAAATGCTGATTTATTTTAGTCTTCAGGATCTGACTCGTTCGAGTCAAATAAGATATCAGCATTATAAAAATTGTGGGACATCCATGAATTTTTTATTTTTCAGGGATCATAAGTCGATAATTCTCTTCGAGATTGATGATTTCAGATTTGTTTCCCTCAACTCCTATAAAACTGCCGGTAAACTATCCCTTCCTTTGAATTACGGAAACTATCTCGTCATTTTTACTGAATATTTCTCTCCGTGGGATCAAAATAAAATCAATGTAATTATTTGCAAATCGTCATTTATCCATTCAGGAATTGCAATTCTTGCCAACATTAAAAAAGGTCATGTGGATAATGATGACATAAACTTTGGAGTAAGGATATATGTTTGGTACATGGAGCTCTTTATGTACACCTATGTCGGGGAAAAGTTATCGCAACAAGCGGAGAAATCGCAAATGGCAGTTTACAATTGTCCATGGTATAACATGTCACCACACATATCTAAAGACGTTAAGTTCATTTTAATGCGTAATAGTTCCTTCTGTTATTTGACTGCCGGTGGAATTTTCGTCATGAATTATGAAGCATTCAAAGAAATTACAAGACTCATGTTCTCCGGATTTTCTGTTCTTAAACTGGTATTGGAATAAATGAGTGTTGTCAATCATTCTCTTGAATTAAAGATAAATTTTCAGGGTGTGTTCATAGAATTTGATTAATAGAACTGAAAAATAGAGGGACACGTACCTTAAATACGAAATGATTTTTTTTAAATGAAATAATTACCATAAGATTATAACCGCAAGAAGGATAATGCATTGAAATTTGGGGCATGATACTTTCGGCGACCCAAGGGGCCCAATTGTCAGAAGTTTTCTGGCCAAATATTGAAAGGGGATCAGAAAAGCACGACATGTAGAATACTGATGATTGATGAACAATGCGATTCGAAATGAATTGAATCCGCTCGGTTCACTGGAGCCAATCGATATGACAGGGTGATTATTTATTAAACAATGCGTCCTGGAAAAACAAACGCTTACAATATTCACGGACCTATAGACGAGAAAAAACCATGTGGAATATGAATTTATTAATGAGAGAATAAAAACTGATGAATACGAAAAAATTATTCGTATGAATAACCTGATGTTCACTGGTAGAGTAAAAGCAGTTGCAGTTAAACTGGATTCTCTTCTCACATGACTAGAAGACGTGGCTCGTAATGGAAGATAAAATTGAATTTCAAATGAAGTGTCATGATGATACGCGTCATGCCATTGGTTTTTCGGAGTTATGGTGTAAACTTATAGGTGCCTGGCCATGGCAACGAAACAAAATATTCTCTAGGATGAGAAGTGCATGCCTGATGACAGTTGAGGTACAAAGTAAACTAATTTCAAATCTGCTAATCATATGACAAATAATTCGATAAAGGTTGCTGCAAGTACCTTGTTATTGGAACGATTAGTGAAAAATGGAAACTGTGGATCAACGGCTCGTTTAATTGAGACCCTAGCTGCAATTATGATGTTCCTCGTCACAGTCCCCAAAATATTTCTACCTTGTTTTCACCGTGAGCGAATGCGTAATATTATCCAATTGATCATAGATGATTGGTCAAACTTATCAGAAGCGAAATCTCGAAGACTCATGATTCGATACGCCACTTGGGGACGTTTAGCTTACATTATTCAAATTAGTGCGGCATTCATGATTGTATTGGAACTGATAATAACCCGACCTCCAAGTTTTACAGTTAGACCATCAGAAAATGGTAATTTATCAGTGAGAGGCCTCGTTTTTGGACTGCCGTGCTGGATTCCACCCTCGATGTCTACTCCTGTTTATTTGATATACTATTATATAACTTTGTGTGGTACATGTGTCAACGCTCTGATGTATATAGGATTTGATTCATTCATGTTCAGCACTGCCTTGCATATTTGTGGCCAGTTTGAAATACTTAACTCGAGTATTGAAAAAATCACAGTTCAAGACAATTATGGAATTAGATTAAAGAATAGAATCAAAGAGTACTCACAACGACATGCCAAATTATTCGCCCTGACTAATCAGCTTAACGACATTGCTAATCTCATTGTTTTATTTCAACTTCTCAGTAATGGCTTCCTTATTTGCCTTTCAGGTAAATATTTTTCATCTTGCACCTCGAGAAATAATTAGCGCTTTAATGAGGCGCATCGCATAACTATGAATTATTGTCTTTTTGTTTAGGGATTTCACTTCTCACTAGCGTCAAGAGTGGGAGAATTAATAATGACGATTTGGACGTCGGAGTTAGAATATATGTTTGCTATATGGCATTATTTATGTACTCATTTGTCGGTGAAAAACTATCAATTCAAGCGGAAAAATCCCAAATCGCTGTATACAATATGGAATGGTATAACATGCCGACAAATATTGCGAGGGATATTCAGTTTATTATAATGCGCAATAATTCTCCCTGTTATTTAACGGCCTGTGGGGTTATGACTATGAATTATGAAGCTTTTAAGAATATTACGAGAGTCATCTTCTCATGCTTTTCTGTTCTTAAATTGGTATTGGAGTAAAAGGAACAGACAATGTAGTAAATATCGATACGCACTAGAGCTAGTGTTCACATTTTGAATATTTTTACAGTATTGATCAATATTAAACTTTTTCGGTGATGAGAATAAATCCAAGTTACTTCTAACGTCTTCATATTTCGTCGTTTATACTTTTGAAACAATATTTTCTACTCACACGGAGAGAAATATTCAAGAAAAATTACGGAATATTTCACGTAATCTGCAAGTGGAACAATAATCACATAAATTTTACGATCTGTTCCGTAAAAATTACTCGTCCGTCCGACGCCTGAATTTTGATGTTCTGAGGCATAATAAATCTTGACGTTTGATTTGATTGGAAATCATTCAGAAAAATTACGTGACTTTTCCCTATTTTTTTGGTGACAGAATCCAAAAATTTACTGAAAGTTCCAGGTTTATTCCCCAAAAATGATTCTCGCTGGTAGATCACGTGAAATGTTGCGTAATTTTTCTTGAATATTTCTCTCCGTGCACTGTCTTCCATATATTTTTCATACTTTGTAACATTGCACGCATGTCAGCATAACTAGCAGCATGAATTGATGAAGATGTGCTTCTGTGCTTTGTCTCTCTAAAAGTCGTTTACCCCATGGTAAATTTGAAATGGGTGACAATAACGAACTTGAATTCTTCTAATTAACTATTTCGCACCAACACAACTCGTTTCACCACAATTTATCCGCAAATCGGAATGGGAATGCTTTCGCGATTATTCAGAAAGTCGTTGATTCGGTACATGAAAATGTTTGGAAAAACTGATGGAAATACGATGATGAAGGTCCCTGCTGTGCAAATGTTGACGAACATGATAATTCGGAATGAAGCGAATGTGATCGGTTAGCTGGAGCCAATCGATATGACAGGGTCATTATTTATTGAACAAAGCATCCTGGAAAAACATACGCTTACAATATTCACGTGGATATAGACGAGAAAAGACCACGTGGAATATGAATTTATTAATGAGAGAAGAAAAAATGAGGAATATGAGAAAATTATTCATATGAATAACCCGATGTTTACTGGTAGAGTAAAAACAATTTTAGTCAACCCGTATACTTCTCTGTCGTGACAACAAGACTGGATCTGTAATGGAAGAGGGAATAGAATTGCAGATGAAGTGGAATGATGATACGGAACATACCATTTGTTTTTCGAAGTTGTGGTGTAAACTCATAGGTGCCTGGCCATGGCAACGCAACAATATGTTCTCCACAATGCGAACTGCATTCCTGATGACAGTGGAGGTATAACATAAACTAATTTCGAAACGACTAATTACATCATAAATAACTTGATAAAGGTTGTTGCAAGTGCATTGATACTAGAACGATTAATAAAAAAAGGAAACTGTGGATCAAGGGCACGTTTAATTGAGGCTGCAGCTGCAATGACCATGTTCATTGTCACAGTTCCCAAAATATTTCTACCCTGGTTTCACCATGAGCAAATGCGTAATATTATCCAGATGATCATAGACGACTGGTCAAACTTATCAGAAACGAAATCTCGTAAGATCATGGGTCGGTATGCTTTTTGGGGACGTTTAGCTTACATTATTCAAATTAGTGCAGTGTTCATTATTGTCCTGGAACTGACAGTAACCCGACACCCAAGTTTCATGGTTGAATCATCAGAAAATGGTAGTTTGTCGGTGAGAGATATTGTTTTGGGACCGTCGTGCTGGATTACACCGTCAATGTCCACCCCTATGTATTTGATGTACTATTATATAGTTTTGTCTGGTCTATGTGGGGCTGCATTAATATATGCAGGATTTGATGCATTCATGTTCAGCACTGCCTTGCATATCTGTGGCCAGTTTGAAATACTAAACTCAAGTATAGAAAGAATGACGGATAAAGATGATTATGGTATCCTAAAGCACAGAATTAAAGAATACTCCCAACGACATGCCAAATTACTTGCCCTGAGTAATCAGCTTAACGACATTGTTAGTCTGATAATTTTACTGGAGCTTCTCAGTAATGGCTTCCTTATTTGCATTTCAGGTAAATATTTTTCGTCCTGTATCTTGAGAAATAATTAGCTTTTTAGTAATGTCTATTGCATAACTATAAATTATGATCTATTTGTTCAGGTATTTCACTTCTCACTAACTTCAAGAATGGAAATTTGGATACTGACGATTTCAACGTCGGAGTAAGAGTATATGTTTGCTACATGGCACTTTTTATGTACTCATTTGTCGGTGAAAAACTATCAATTCAAGCTGAAAAATCCCAAATCGCTATATACAATAGGCCATGGTACAACATGTCGGCAACGATCGCTAAAGACATGCTATTTATTATCATGCGTAACAATTGTCACTGTAATCTGAGAGCTTGTGGAATTATGGATATGAATTATGAAGCTTTTAAGAATATTACAAGAGTCATTTTCTCATGCTTTTCTGTTCTTAAATTGATATTGGAGTAATAATTTAACGGATAATGTGGTAAATAGTAATTACTGCATTAGCTAATGTTGACATTTTCAGTATTTTTACAGTATTAACCAATATAGAACTTGTTCTCAATCGAAATTAATTGCAGCTTGTACTCTGATCGCCTGCATATTTTTGGGCCATAAGTGCCCAGAAACACTCGGTTCGCTCGGTAGAATCGTAAATTCTGGGCCCAACGGCATTAAATACAATAACGAAACTCGTTCATTGTTTTTTACTCCATGCCATTGTAAAACAAGCCAAGGGCGAGAAACTTTCCAGGAGCCAGAAAATCCATACCGCACTTGTTGTGTAATATACTATTTCGAAACATGACATCTTCAAGGAAGGGAATGTTCACATTCGTCTTAGCATTTTCCACTCACAGTCTTGCATGTGTCGTAATTTGCGGTATTCCACCCTTTTTTTTTGTTTTGTTTTTTTTTTATATATATTCCGGCCCTTTCTGCACTGTTCTGGCTAATTGGCCCTATCTCACCCTATACATGCAGCTGTGGATCCGACACTGTACCGTATTCACTCTCCTATAGAACATAACAGTGACATGGGAAACCACAGAAAAAACCATGTCGGCACAGGCGGTTGCGCCATTAGCAGCCTCCCGATCATCGGTGCCTGTCGAAAAATTCGATTCCACGGGGAATCGAACTCACAACTTTCAGAACACTAGGCTCGCACCTAGCCACTGAGCTACCGACCCTTTTTCATCCAACGAACTATTGGGCCGGAAAGGTAGTTATTTATTAGAGTACTGTACCTTGAAAAATAAATGGGAGCACAGGAATAGAAACCCCTGATGTCCAAATGCTGATGAACACTAGGATTTGAAATGAACCGAATGTACTCGGTTCACTGGATCCAATCGATATGACATGGTCATTATTCATTGAACAATGCATCCTGGAAGAACAAATGCTTACAATATTCACGTGGCTATAGACGAGAAATGGCCACGTGGGATATGAATTTATTAATGAGAGAAGAGAAAAAAGATGAGCATGAGAAAATTATTCATACGAATACCCTGATGTTCATTGGTAGAGTAAAAGCTGTTTCAGTCAAGTTGTATTCTTTTCTCACATGACTACAAGACTCGACCCGTAATGGAGGACAAAATTGAATATCAAATGAAGTGGAATGATTATACTCAGTACGCAATTGGTTTTTCCAAGTTATGGTGTCAAATTATTGGTGTCTGGCCATGGCACAGGAACAGAGTGTTCTCTACGGTGCGAAGTGGATTCCTAATCACAGTTGAGGTATCAAATAAACTCATTTCAATACGACTAATCATATCGCAAATAATTTGACAAAGGTTGCTGCAAGTGCGCTGCTATTGGAGCGATTATTGCAAAATGGAAACTGTGGATCAAGGGCTTATTTAATTGATGCCTTAAGCTCACTATCCCTGTACCTCGTGTTAGCTATCAAAATATTTCTACTCTGGTATCAACATGAGCGAATGCTTAATATTATTCAATCGATCATAGATGATTGGTCGAACGTTGCAGAAACGAAATCTCGTGATATCATGACTCAATATGCTTTTTGGGGACGTTTAGCTTACATTATTGAAACAAGTATGGTACTTGTAGTTATTTTGGAAATAACAGTGACTCGACCTCCAAGCTTTTCTATTGGAACATCAGAAAATAATAGCTTGTGGGTGAGAAATTTCGTTTTGGGACCTTCGTGCTGGGTTCCACCGTCGATGTCCACCACGTTGTATTTGATGCACTATTATATAGGCCTGTGTGGTATATTTGCAGCAGCAATAGTATATCCAGGATTTGATGCATTCATGTTCAGCATTGTACTGCATATTTGTGGTCAGTTTGAAATACTAAACTCAAGTACAGAAAATATCACAGACGAAGATGGCTATTGGGAGCAAAGGTATAAAATTAAAGAATACTCCCAACGGCATGCCAAATTACTTGCACTGAGTACTCAGCTTGACGAGATTATCAATGTAATCATTTTATTCACGCTTCTCAGCAATGGTTTCTCTATTTGCATCGCAGGTGAATATTCTTCAACTTGCATCTTAAGAAGTAATGATCTTTTTATAGATGCCCATTGCATATTTATAAATTATTATCTCTTTGTTCAGCTATTTCACTTCTGACTGGTATCAAGAATGGAAATTTGGATAATGAAAATTTCAACGTTGGAATAAGAATATGTGTTTGCTATGTGGTATTATTTATGTATTCATTTGTCGGTGAAAAACTATCAATTCAAGCTGCAAAATCGCAAATCGCTATTTACAAAGTGCCATGGTATAACATGCCCACAACTATAGCTAAGGATATTCAATTTATTATAATGCGCAGCAATTCGGCTTGCAATTTAACGGCATGTGGGATTATGACTATGAATTATGAAGCTTTCAAGTATACGACAAGAGTCATGTTCTCGTGTTTTTCTGTTCTTCAATTGGCACTGGCGTAAAAGTGATGGATACCTAATAATGTGGTCAATAGTAATAGGTGCTAGTGAGTGCTAGACCACCTCTTATTAAACATTTTTACAGTATTGATAAGCAGAAAATTTTTCCTCACACTAGAATAAATTCAAACCTCTATTCCCATAGTCTTCATATTTTTTCTAAATGGATAATTTTCAGAAAACGAAATGATGTCTCGTCATTCATGGTATACCACGATTTTCGGCATGATGATTCTGCTCCTTTGATTTATATTTCGGTGATGGTTCACCCCGTAGCACGTTTAACAAGTAGTTCACAATATCAAATTTTGATTCGTCCAATAAAATACGTCGAAAGCAATTTGTTTAAATACAAGTTCGGCTCAAACGGAAGGATTTTTTTCGGAGGCCATTCGAAAAGATAGTGATTATAATATTGCACTTTGAAAAATATGAATGGGAGCACACGAATGGAAGCCCCTGATGTTCAAATGTTGATGGATACTACGATTCAAAATGAATAGAATGTACTTGGTTCACTGGAGCCAATCGATATGACATGGTCATTATTCATTGATCAATGCATCCTGGAAAAACATACGCTTACAATATTCACGTGGATATAGACGAGAAAAAGCCATGTGGAGTATGAATTTATGAATGAGAGCAGAAGAAAATGGGGAACATAAGAAGATTATTCTTATGAATAATCTGATGTTTACTGGTGGAGTAAAAGAAGTTTTGATCAAATTTTATTCTTTCCTCACGGGACTACGAGACTTGACCTGTAACGGAAGAGAGGATATAATTTCAGATGAAGTGGAATAATAATATACACCATGCCATTGGTTTTTCAAAATTATGGTGTAAAATGATAGGTGTCTGGCCATGGCAACGAAATGAAGTGTTCTCCATGATGCGATGTGGATTCCTAATCACAATTGAGGTATCAAATAAACTAATTTCGAGACCAGTAATAATATCACAAATAATTTGATAAAGGTTGCTGCAAGTGCATTGTTATTAAAAAGATTATTGCAAAACGGGAACTGCGGATTAAGGGCTGGTTTAATTGATGCTCTAAGTGCTATTTCCATTTTTCTTGTGTTAGCTATGAAAGTATTTCTACTCTGGTTCGAACATGAGCGAATGCGTAATATTATTCAATCGATTATAGACGATTGGTTAAACGTTTCGGAACCAAAATCTCGTAGAATCATGACGCGATATGCTCTTTGGGGACGTTCATCGTACATTATTGCAACGGGTATGGTATTCTTAGTCATATTGGAACTGGCAATGACTCGACCTCCAAGCTTTACTATTGGGGCATCAGAAAATGATAGTTTGTGGATTAGAAATATCGTTTTGGGACCTTCATGCTGGATTCCACCGTCCATGTCCACTACCTCGTACTTAGTGCATTATTATATAGTTCTCTGTGGTTTGTTTGCGGCAGGATTAATATATTCAGGATTCGATGCATTCATGTTCAGCACTGCGTTGCATATTTGTGGTCAGTTTGAAATACTGAACTCAAGTGCGGAAAAAATCACTGATGAAGATGGATATTGTAATCTAAAGCACAGGATTAGAGAATACTCCCAACGACATTCCAAATTAATTGCGCTGAGTAATCAGCTCAACAAAATTCTCAATATGATAATTTTATTTGAACTTCTCAGTAATGGCTTCCTTATTTGCATTTCAGGTAAATATTTTTAATCTTGCATGTTGAGGAATAACTAGCTCATTAGCAATATCTAGTGAATAGCTGTAAATTGTGATAATTTCGTTTAGGTATTTCAGTCCTCAATAGTATCAAGAATGGAAATGTCGGTAATGATGATTTCAACGTCGGAGTAAGAGTATATGTTTGTTATATGGCGTTATTTATGTACTCATTTGTCGGTGAAAAGCTATCAATACAAGCTGAAAAATCCCAAATCGCTATGTACAATAGGCCATGGTATAACATGCCTACAACTATTGCTAGGGATATTCAATTCATTATAATGCGTAATAATTCGCCTTGTAATTTAACCGCTTGTGGAATTATGACAATGAATTATGAAGCTTTTAAAAATATTACAAGAGTCATGTTCTCATGCTTTTCAGTTCTTAAATTGGCATTGACTTAGAAGTGATGGATAACGTGATAAATAATAATAAGTTCTAGAGCAAATGTTTCTGTTATTAAATCCTTTCCCAGTATTGACAAGGATAAGACCTTTCCTCCCATCAGAATAAATTCAAATTTCTGCTGTAATATTCTTAAATTTTTTTTTTAAACACAACAATTCCAGTATAATATACTAAATATTTTAAAAAATAAATATTCTACATTTATCTCAGTGTTCTTTACTCACAGCCTTGCATGTATCGCACTTAATGATATTCCACGCTTCTCCTGTTTTTTTTTTTAATTGTACACCCCATGGCCAGAGTAAACTGCTTCACAATAATAAATTTCAATTGGTTTAATTAACTATTCCCGTTAAACACAACTCGTTTTAGTACAAATTCGGCTTAAATGGCAAGAGTACTTTAGCGTTATTCAGCAAGGCGTTGAATTTGGCGGAATTTTGAAGTGTGCGAAAAAATGAACGGAAGCACAAATAAAATATAAAAAATGAATAAAAGCATCTGATGTCCAAAGATGATGAACCCTCTACTTGGAAATGAAGCGAATTTGCTCGGCTCGCTAGAGCCAATCGATATCAGGGAAGATTATTCATAAAACAATGAACTCGGAAAACAACTGCCTACAATATTCATGTATGTATAGCCGGAAAAGTCCATGTGGAAGATGAATTTATTAATGAGAGGAGAAGAAAGTGATGAATATAAGAAGATTATTCGTATTAATAATCTGATGTGCACTGGTAAAGTAAAAGCAGCATCAGTCAGTCGGTATTCTTTTCTCACATGACAACAAGACTCGATCTGTAATGGAAGAGGGAATTGAATTGCAGATGAAGTGGAATGATGATATGCATCATGCCATTGGTTTTTCCAAGATATGGTGTAAAATTATAGGTGTCTGGCCATGGCAACGGAATGAAGCGTTTTCTGTGATACGATGTGGATTTTTAATGACAGTTGAGGTATGAAATAAAATAATTCTAAAATGACTACTTAAATCACAGGTCATTTAACAAAGGTTGCTGCAACTACCTTGTTATTGGAACGATTATTGAAAAAGGGAAACTGCGGATCAAGGACTCGTTTAATTGATGCATTATCTGCAATTACCATGTTTCTCGTCTCATTTACTAAAATATTCCTCCCGTGGTTTGAACATAAGCGTATGCGTAATATTATACAATCCATCATGGACGATTGGTTAAACGTTCCAGAAACGAAGTATCGTAAGATCATGACGCGATATGCTCTTTGGGGACGTTTAGCTTACATTATTCAAGTTGGTGCTGCATTTATTATTGTATTAGAAATGACAATAACCCGACCTCCAAGCTTTGTAGTTGAATCATCAGAAAATGGAAGTTTGGTGATGAGAAATATCATTTTGGGACCGCCGTGCTGGATTTCATCGTCCATGTCCACCACTTTGTATTTGATGCACTATTATATTGTTTTCTGTGGTCTATGTGGTGCTGCACTAATATATTCAGGATTTGATGCATTCATGTTCAGCGCTGCGTTGCATATTTGTGGTCAGTTTGAAATATTAAACTCAAGTACCGAAACAATCACTGATGAAGGCGGTTACTGGAAGCAAAAGCATAGGATTAAGGAATACTCCAAACGACATGCCAAATTACTGGCACTAGGCACTCAACTTAACGAAATTGTTAATTTTATTATTTTCTCTGAGCTTATCAGCAATGGTTTCCTTATTTGCATTTCAGGTAAATATTTTTGCATCTTTCATATTGACAAGTAGCTTCATTGTAATGGAATAGATAACTATAAATTTTCTTCTTTTGTTTAGGAATCTCAATTCTCACTAGCATCAAGAATGGCAATGTGGACAATGATGATCTCAACTTCGGAGTGAGAATATTTGTTTGGTACATGGGGCTATTTATGTACACATTTGTTGGTGAAAGGCTATCAAATCAAGCAGAAAAATTGCAAATTGCTATATACAATATCCCGTGGTATAACATGCCCACAACTATTGCCCGGGATATTCAATTTATTATAATGCGTAACAATTCTCCTTGTCATTTAACTGCCTGTGGCATTATGAACGTGAATTATGAAGCTTTCAAAGATATTACAAGACTCATGTTCTCGTGCTTTTCTGTTCTCAAATTAGTATTGGAATAAAAGTGACAATCGTGTAAAGTAGTGATAACTGTAAGAATGATTTTTCATATTTTCAAATATTTGTATTATTCCACTAAAAATAAATCATCAGGCGAACTCACAATGTAATTCTTTCAAGTCTAATTGATTGGCTGAAGACATATCGTTATCATAATCAGTCTATCGTTATTTATTCTTTAGCTGACAGTTTCAGTGAAGCATTAGATTGGAGAGTTCGATGCATCAAAAAACAGTTTAAATTTCCACAGCCGGTTAGATCTGCAACTTGAAGATGGTCTAGGGTCAAATATCAAAACAGGTAATGAATATTTAATATATATAATATATCAGTCATAATTTTTCTGGCGAGCCTTCAGTTAATCGAACTAGAGTGCAGCGAAACAACTGATATTTATATTTATCATTTTATATCCGATCTAGATTTGGAAACTGAAATCCTTACCTTGCCGATATATCCCTGCACCTTATCGCAGAATATCTCCGCAATAATCCGTCATAATTCCGACATTTTCGATCGTACGATATATTTCTGCTGTCGCAGGAATCACTAGCTCTCAAGACGAACCGACATCAACTGTGAATACATTCAATTTAATTTATACGTTAACGCCGAGTGTTTTGGATTCCAAAATCCTTCTATCCCTTATATAATCTCACATAAATAATATTATATATTCCCGTTTCCATTAATGGTCGAAGCTGAAGGACCGATCACTGGCTTGTCCCATCCCGATCGACTACCAATTATTTCTCAAAATATTATTTAAGACTTAAATTTCATAGTTATCGTTATTTGTAGAAATTAATGACTCATTGTTCTTATAATATAATGATCCGAATTTTTCTATTATTTATTTGGCAAAATTTAAATTAATTCATTTAATTTCTTGCAAATTTATGACCGTTAATATCCCTGATGGAAGGATTAATCATTATTTATTTCAAATAATAAAAAATAATAAACAAAAACACATTTGATGTTTCATCCAAAATTTATTGATACTCGTAATTTTTTATTTGTTTTTCTTTAACAGTTTGAAATAAAGCTGTGCGACATTTTCTATAACACAAGCGATATTTATTAAAAATTTCGTGTAGACGTCACTGCGTATCATTCAAACATCAGTTTGAGAACGGAAAAATACGAGAATATAAGTTTAGTGATGTTTTTGAAGGATTCCAGGTTCATAACATAAACACCTCCAGCGGTTAGTGTACAGATCGAGTTACTCCGCATGATTATAAAATTGATGTCTTTAGCAATACTGACGGGCATGTTGTACCACGGACAATTATAAATAGAAATCCGTAATTTCTGAGCTTGGGAGTATAATATTTCGCCAACGTAGCTGTACATAAATATTCCGACATAGCAGATAAATATCCTGATTGCTAAGGTGACGATATCCTTTTCTGCATTCCCGATGCGAATATTGATGACAATTGCCATTCCTGCGTGTGAAAATTACGATTGGCAATTATTACGATCAAAACAACTCCAGAGGGAGAAATCGAATGAAAATTACCAGAAATTAAAAGAAAAGTTAATATGGAATTATTAAATAAAAAATGGGAGTGGAAAGTCAACGAGTCGCGAATTTTCTGTAAGATTTTACTTCATTTCACAAATTACTGATTATACGGAATTTATACTGAATGTATTCCTCGTCGTGCGGCAATTACCGATTTTAATAATGGAAATCCAGAAATCATACCTGAAATGCAGATGAGGAAAGCATTGCTGAAGAGATCGCAGAGAATAATTGACTTGACCAAATGAGCGGTCTGACTGTTGAGTCTCAGTAATCGATCATGTCGCTTGCAGTACTCTCCAATTATCTGTCTTTGCTCTAGATAATTGCTGACATCACTCCATTCCTCGACACTGGTATTCAGTACTTCAAACTGACCACAAACATGCAATGCAACATTGAACATGAATCCATCACATCCGACATACATGAGTGCAGCAACAGCGATGCCGATGAAAGTTGCGTAATAATACATCAGGTACAAGCCGAAGGACATTGTCACAGGGATCCAACAAGAGGGGCCCAAAATTAAATTCCGTTCAGAGAGACTGGAGTTTTCTTCGGAGTTGAAGTTCGGAGGTCGTGTTACTGTGATTTCCAATAAAGTTAGACAGGCGCCAGTTATTTGGGCAATGAAGACCAAACGTCCCCACAATGCATATTGATTCATGATCCGACGTGATGCTCCGTCGGCATTTGACCAATCTTCTGTGATCAATTGACTGATGTGACGGACTCGTTCTCGTTGACTCCAGGAAAGAAAAATCTTCATGGCTGTTACCATGCATCCATTGATACCAGTTAATCCATCAACCAAATGGGTTATTAAACCGCACTTGCCGTGCCTGAACAATCGCTCCAAGAAGAAAATCCCAGCTGTGACCTTTACCAAATGATTGATTCAATCTGGTGTTGTCACACGTCGAAATAATAACTCAATGAAATATAGTACATTTCGTAACAAGTGCGGAAAAGTGATTTTTTCGCGTGTGGACTCACATTCGGCTCGTGCTATAACCCCTCATGCCAAAAATAACTTTCTGCACGAGTTGCGAAAAATATTTTTCTTCACAATGTGCGGGAAAGTCACTTTTAGTGCATGAAAAGGTACTTTTCGGCACATCGTGCTGAAAATAACTTTTATTTCATACCTCAGTGATGATTAAAAAACCACTGCTCATTGAAGAAGCTCTACATTGTCCTGGCCAAATGCCTAAAGTTTTGCACCAGAGCCTCGAAACAATGAGAGCATACCGTTCATCTTTATTACACTGTAATTCAGGGTCTGCCATCAGAGGAAAATATTCTATCAATGTTTTACTTTTGTTGAGCAACTGCCGAGGTCTTTGCATCGTTGCATCATGGGCTCACCCCTATAGTTTCCCGCCAATTAATTATTCATTCTTACCTCCCGTTCTATACACACTCCATAAATATTATAAAGGCGTTGCAACAATATTTTATTGCTCTGCAGAGATATTTTTCTCGTGGCATTAATATGTGATGTGATCGCGTGTTTTCTTGCTTGCAGTTCTTGCTCCGCGAAAAATACTATTGGTGTTTCAATCGAAGTTCAGCATCTCCTGGAAAGTGTTTGAAATTATTTTCAATTTCACGTAAGTTAATTTAATCAATAATTATGACGAGGATATAGTTTTTATTTGAGAATTATCTCGATTGTGATTTTCAGAGTTCAATAAAATGCATTCAATTTAATTTAATTTTTAATACCTCAAGAGTTTGATGATTCCACTCTTTTATTTTTCATTGCAATTTCCTTTGAGAGTGGACTGAAATAATTGTTAATAAAAAACTCGTGTTTAATCTATCAAGGGAAATAAAATCTTTCATAAACGATTTTTTCCTGTCAAATAAATATTTATTTGGGAATAATAATTGTTTCTCTCAGCGGCGATGACAAGTGCCAATTAAATTTCGAAATGCATTTTCCACTGCATTGCTAAAAATATTTATATTTATTAGATGATACACAGGATATAATTAAATTCATTACAATTATCACTGGTAAATTGAAACGAATAATTGTGTAATTATTATAAACATTTAGCAGACAATTGTGTCAATAGTCTGAAAATATTGCGTGGGAGAACGGACATATATTTTTTCTATACAATTAATGCTATTGATGTCTTCTCTAAATAATTTCGCACTAGAATTTTCCGATGACGTGAAAATGCAATTACTCATTGCTCCAGTGCAAGTCGGAAAAACGAAAAATATGAAAACGTTGATTTTATGATATTTTTGTATGTCTCGTAATTCATATTGGCAATTTTACCCGCCGTTAATTGAAATGGGTACTTAACACGCATCATGATGATTATTACGGATTTCATGTGATTCGTTGGGATTTTGTACCAGGGGATATTGTAAACAGCTTTTTGCAGTTTTTCTGTTTCACCTGATAAGGCCTGTCCCACATAACTGACCATAAATATCTCGACATAGAAGAGATAAATGCGGATGAGTTTTGGAATCGCCATTGCACGATTTCGAAGTTTGAATGCCCACAGTAAAATAATACCTGAAATAAATAAATAATTTAATTTTTTTTTCAATAAAAAAAATTTCATTTTTTATTTTTATTATTTTTTATTTTTTTTTTATTTTTTTTTATTTCTTTATTTCCTTTTTTTTTAATGCAAATTAACGGAAGAAAAGAGAAAGGAGATCGATGAAATTATGAAAGAAAACAAACAATAATTAAAAATGTCAATCGCCATTATAATTATTTAACCATCACAACTACTATTTCAATATTACCGTAATATTACAACGGAATTTTTCTCGTAAACGTTTTTACTAATTATAATGATTCTAAGTAATATTTAAACGAGAAATCGCGGAAAAGAATAATTAAAATTGAAATTATTATATTAATATAAGCCTAAGTAAACAGTAAATGAAAAAATTAAGTCAAACCAACGAAATTAATGATCCGTAAAAAAATAAATAATGAATCCCCAACCAATCAAGATAATCATAAAATAAAATGAATCCAAAATATTAAGAAAAATATTGAAAAAACTAATATGATGTGATATCGAATTCGAATGCAAAAAAGAAAACATTTCCTTTTTTTCCAACCTCCGACTCCCACGACTTCCGAGAAAAGAGCAATTACCAGATATGCTGATTATGACAGTATTGTTTAAAACTTCAATGAGTATTGGAATATTGAAGACATCTTCAATGGATTCAGCGACATTGAGCAGATGATTATGCCGCCTGATAAATTTAGCAATCTTCTGATGCTGCTCTTCAGAACTTTCATTGCCACTGATCCCATCAAGTTCATCACAGAGCAACTTGAATTGTCCACACATGTGCATTCCAAGACCGAACAAATAAATATCAGTTCCGATGTACGCAAGAGATGCCGACAACCAGTGAATACAGATTAATGAGTAATAGGCATTGTAATAATGAACAGACATTGTTGTTGACACCCAACATGCTGGTCCATACGGTACAATTCTTGATAAAGTCGTGAAATTTCCTGATGCATCGACTGTTTCTAGTGTAGCTGGTAATTTATGAAGAATATTTCTCAGAATCAAGAATCCAGTGATGAACAATTGGAGAACACAAACTATCCGTCCTTTGTATGCATATTTCATCATGGTGTCGTGAGACTTTCGGTTGTAATCACCTGCCCAGTCTTCAACCATGGAATTGAGAACGAAGTGCATCTTATCGGAGTATTTCCATGGGACCATCAATTTAATGACTGATATACTGCTCAGGGAAAGAATTGTTATAATCTCAACTAAATCCAATATTCGGTCGCCGTAGCCGATCGTAATCAATTTCGTGATGTAAGTGATGTTGAGGGACATCTGAAGGAAGAGCTGTTGCTATGAATAAACTCTGAGGGTTAAACGCACGGCGAGAAATATTCAATAAAAATCACAAGAAAAGGAAAATAAAAACGATATTTCAAATTCTTATTCGCAAGTCAAGAAAAGTTCAAAGAAAATCGGCAAATTATCAATTTGAGAAATCACCGAACGTTTCAGATTAACTTTCTTCCGATTTCGGATTACATAAATCGTTTTAAAATTTCCACTAAATAATATAGCTCTCCGTGCATGTATGAACCAAAAATGACTAAAAATTATCGTACCTGAATGATAACAAATAATACCAATCGAAATGTAGATAATACTTTATTACATTCCAGAGGCCATACCCCCAGAAGATTCATATAACGTCTGTATAAACCCAAAGCATATGTTGTATCATCATTCCATGGAATATTTTCCTTCCTTGAATTCATATTTGTATTATTCCGAGATGCACTCTATTTCGTTGACAAATATAAAATGCACCAGGAGCTGCAGCATAAGAAGCGACCTACACCTTTGGTCATAAAATATTCAAGGAAAATACCTCACGTGTAATTTTATATTGCATGTAAGCTCTTTCTATTCAAACGTTTTAGGTACGAATTCGTTGCATTCGTGACATGTTTTTCTCTATTACAAGTAAGTAAATAAAATTGATAGCTTCTACTGAACTATGGATGAGCGCAATCATATAATATTCATGACGAGTTCTGTACATCGAAGGGTAAATTCATAGGTCTATCATTCCTGAATGCGTCAGAGGCAAACAGAATGCTTCAGACTTCTTTCAAACAATTTCATATTCTCTTGACGCATGTGTCCTCTGACATTGAATTCTACATCTGACCCTATAATTAAAAAAAAATTATTCTCTGTAAGATGGATTGGTTAGAGGATTGCCTCAACTGAACTCAATCTGGCTAATCAATTTGGTTGTCACTGGAGTTTATCTTAGACTTAATGCCCTGTGTAAAATGAGACACCTGACGCAATTCGAGAGAAAAATGTCTAACCACCGAATTGTTCTCACCGTGGTTATCAACATAATCAGGATCGCCAGTTTGAATAACATTTTGCAACTGTGGTGAAAGAGTCTCTTAATTGTTGCCATTTCGAGGAAGAACAATTCAGAAGTGAGAAAGAAAGTTGAGAGAACCGGTGAAGAATGGGCCCCAGGAGGAGGAGAACAAGTAAATGAGGGGAAATGTAACAATATTTGCTGGGTAAGGGAGAAGGTGGATACAACGGCCTATCAGAATTCATTCTTGTAAGACATCGCATGAGAGAAAGACGTTTTTTGAGTTTTAATCCAGCAAGTGAGGTAAACTGATTTTTTTTTTTAAATAATGATCCCAAGGTATCGAGTCAGAAGGTGTGATTGAAAATAAATTAATGGCTGGGATAATTCAGATGAATTGTTTCGGATTCTCTGGCGGAATGAACTTCTCCATTATGTTTATTACTCAGTGATTGTGGATATTATGGTGAATTTATTATTGCGCTCAATGAAGGAGGCGGAAACCTTTCTGGAATTCCAATGTGGAATCACCAGTGCCGAACGAAACTTTCGCCGATCAGCTGGATTTTATCTTAAATTAAATGTAGCAGTTTTGTTGACAGCCTTCTGTATGCGAATACATGGTGAATATATTCAATATTATATTATTTTATTTTTAATTTATTCGTTTTTTTATTTATTCTCTTCAGTTATTTTTAGATTTATTCCATTTAATTTTTATTTCTTCTTTTTTTCTTCTGGCTTTATTTATTTCGAATTTATGTTTATCATTTAGGGGAGAGTATGCAATTATTTGTTTCTAGCACTTTGGAATACTTACGTCAAGAGTTTCTCCGGAATGTTTTTATTAGAAAAAATTTCAGGATAAAAAGATCTTATGGGAATGGGAATTTTATGGGAAACTTTCGGTTTGTGATGGTGAATATGATAATTACCTCATTTGTGTTGAAATTAATTGATATAATTCGGATAGTTATCCGATCCTACTCTGGTTTTATCAAATACTGAAAAAAAAAATCGTAAAAAAGAATATAAACAATTGAGAAAACAATAGACGTTTTCTATTTTTATAATTATTGTAAATAAATATAATGTATTGTATAATTTAATTCTAGTTATGCGTCCCAGAAAAAATAATTGGTATTTAAGTAATTGGTAATATCATGTAATTAACAGAATTTTTATCCAGAGTAAAAATCACAATCTGTTAATTACAAAAGAATTAAAGAATTAACAATCTCTTAAAAATTTTAAAATCGTCATTATTGCTGCAATGTCAAGGGAAAAATTCTCTCTGAGAAAATATTCCGCAGGATTATTAGGTATCGGTGTAAATTTTTTTTCTCGCGCGGTGGATAAGGAGAGACAAGTGTTATAATTAAATATGTTGTTGATATTATTTTATACCGATAAACGCTGGTAATTCGTATAAACTAGAATCTAGTTAATAACAACCATTGACCGTGACGAGTTTTATATACAGTTACGCCTCCCGTCATTACGTATTTTCAACCGCTACATTCAGCCACGCGCCGACCTCCCCTAATTACTGCAAAATTAAAGTTGTGCCTAATTAGATGATTAAATCCCCGTGCAATTAGCATGCAAAAATGTTAATCTGTATAAATATTAACAGGAAAAAAAATGGGGTCGAGAAATTTTATCCGCTTGATTTTTCATGGACATAAATCCGCAAAGTGGTAAACTAGGACAAGTGCATTTTTTTCGAGTCCAGTTTTCATCGAAAATCTCAGAACTGACCAGATCTAGAGATATTTTCATGAATACCTTTTTCGTAGCTCTTATCTTTCTCTACAAAAAATATAACCACAAAAATATCGCTATCCCCCTTCAATCCCAAGATATTCACGGAATATCGCCTCAAAAAAAAAATGCATTCATTCTAATTTTCTAGTTTTCTTCTGGATTCTTCGCGGAGACTGCGATGGAATGAATATAGCATGAATATACTAATGAATCATGATTTTGCTGAAATTGCGATGATAGTTTAAGAGGGGAAACCACGGGAACCGGCATAAAACGGTAAAAGAAAAAGTAAACAATCGTCAACCGTCACAATGTGCATCACGGAAGCAGTAGTAATTTCGGTCTACACGTGGATCTGACAGAAAAATGAAAATTATACGCTCAAACGATGAAGTTACCTTTGAATCGTCTACAAATGGATACACCTGAACAATTTAGAAAGACTGTTTTTTTTTTTGAGTAACGGACATCTGTGCAGTCGGCCAGATTGACCACCTGCTTCGAAATTCACTGCATTATCAATTTAATTTTTATTTCAGCTCAGAAAGAAATCCACAATCTAACAATGTACGGATTCACGGAAACCGAAGAAAAAATCCTGCCGCCACTAAATGTATCACATATATATAATAATGCAACGGATTATTTAAGGTAATTAAATAATACTTTGAAAAATTTTTATCTCCATTTTTGTACCGTTAATTTTTATCAACTCACAATGGATGGTGAAACGGTGTGAATTTATTGTAGATTATCTAGCGGATTGGGTGGCAGATCGGGTAAAACGAGAGGTAAAAGAAGTGTTGTGCACTTGTACAATATGCTTGTATGTGCAACTGGGTGCAATCCTTTAACTTATAAAGGATACGGCTGCTATTGCGGATTTCTCGGTTCTGGATATCCTGTGGATGGTATCGATCGGTAAGATCAACAAAAACAAGCGGAATATTGCTAATAATTTCATGAAAAAGGTCGAAAGGTCATACAGAACGGAATGAGAATAATAAATAATAAATTGCCAACACGCTCCCGAATAGTTGTGCAGTATTCGACCAACGCTGGGTAAGCTCGGGCCAACATTGAGCCAACCCCAGGCCAGCATTGAGCCAACCTTAGGCCAACATTGCATCAATATCAAAACGTCTATAAAAAACATTGAAAGATGTTAGAGCAGACTAAATTTGAGAATAAATAAATAAATGCCTATTAGAAAAAATAATTATCGATATTTAGAATGTGAAACGTTTCAAGATTTCTGTAATGACCTGCAGTCCTGCAATAAGATGTTTAAGAAAAATACATCCTGTGGATTATACGATTCAATTTGATCAATGGCGTGTCTAAACGATCGCCTGATATTTGAGAAAGAACAAAAAATAACAAAGAAATTGCACGGGGTCGTTATAATTGAGTTGTGTGAAGGCGTGTTGACTCTCAGATCATTTACCATCTTTAAATGGCAACAGTGCCCCTAACTTGTTCCAGCAAGACGATTTCGTTCGTGAAAGTGATGTTCATTTCATAATTTTTTCGAATTATGTTTTTCAGGTGCTGTTGGATGCATGACCGGTGTTATGACGCAACCGGTTGTCCGACCTTTTCAGAGTATTTTATCCCGTATTATTGGAAATGTTATCGTGGCCATCTTCCGATCTGCGGTAGGTTGTTTTTTTTTAGTGATTCTCTATTTTTAATTCCTGAAACAATGACTTATTCAGGCCACCGAATTAATTCGCTGATCGTTTCAGCAAGAGATCAGCGAGTTTTCACACTTGGATAAGGCAAATAAGAATAGAATGCAGTAGAGTTATTAAAGTAGAAAAATGGAATTAAATCCAAGGAATCGCTTTCACTTGGGCGTTAAACCTGGGATAACAGATTTATTTTTATCCGTTTTTATAAATTCCTTCTCTCGGATTACGTCAATTGTTCTGTAATTTTTACTGAATATTTCTCTCTGTGAAGTTTAATTGAAGTCAAGGGTGATTATTAATCAGTTATTATGGTGATTACAGCTGTCTTACATGGAAGCTGGGGTGGATCTGGATCTTGCGCTCAAAGATTGTGCGAGTGCGATCGAGCATTTGCTCAATGTTTACGGCGTTTTCCTTGTCCCTCGTCTAAAGCTGTGTGCACATCTTCTCCGTTGAGACTTGTACAAAATATTTTCATGATTTTTTAAATGAACGATGAATGCCAGTATCCAGGTGTCTTTATTTTAACAAAATAATTATTTACAATTGTTTATTGCCACCACCTAGCCATTTAAAAAAACACGATATCTGGAATTTTGGGAGAGGATATCACAGAGCGCTGATGCTCCCGGTCAAGTGAACCTTACGATTTTTATATTTTTTTGAGATATCTTTTTCGATCTGAAAGCAGAAAAAAATATTGATAATGATTTAATTATTAAGTTCCGAATTATTCGAGGAATTTTCGCGAGGATTCATACAATCTTTTCTCACTATTTTTAATTAAAACGAAGTGATGAAAACTTTGGAGACCCATAGGCAGGAAGGGATCGACAAAAGGGAAGGAAGACGTCGGATATTTTGAACTCCAGGTCTTGAAATACATTTATTCAATTAAAAATCACTTACTTCGATCTGCAGCTCTCGAGTCTTTTGAATAACCACTTCGAGCAATTCTTTGAGAGCTCCCCCCTTGGATCTAGCTTCTTGTTGTTTATCTTTGAGGACTTTCTGCATTGTCGCCATTCTTTCCACCAAAACTAGTTTCTGTTCCAGATTCGCAGCCAGCACATCCACATATCTGATAAGATTTCAATCATTTATCCTTTCAAGTACTCAAAAAGAAGTGCGTCATTCATCACAGAAATATTCACCTGGGGGAATGCTTGATAGAATGCAAATGCTGGACTCGACTGTCTAAAATCTCTGATAAGATAACTTGCACATTATCTAACATATTTTGAGTGGTATCTGCAGTCGCCATTTGTATAATTGGAGATGCCTCTTGCATCAGACTTGTAGACAATACACTTTGATGACGATCACTTTTTAGCTCGTACAACCTCATCTTGAGGAACGCCTGCAGCTAGAATTCACCAGACTATAAACTCCCGATCTATTTACGAATATTTTTCAGTTCTAATCGATATAAGGGAAGTGAAGTAAAATGTTCCCTTCGGAATTCATTATCGTATGCCGAAGGAGTATAATCATTTTTCCACTGAATTCTTACTTCCAATAATTGATCAATAAAATCTTTTCTCGTTTTGGGATTATCGAGTACTGTGAGGGCTTCGTCTCCGGTAGCTGTTCCTCCTTCATTTCCAGCTGCTTCCACGACGATTCCAGACTCTTCCAACGAAATATTAAAATCTATTGCACCTTCACCCGCTGGTTCACCCTCTATGTCACCCCAATCTATCTCTCCACCTTCGTCAAGATTTACTTCATCCCCAAAATCAATTTCGGCGTTTTCATTCGGTTCACCTAAATCGAGAGTATTTTCGTCGCCAACAGGCACCTGCAATCAGTGGCTTGATGAGGCTGTCAAAATTTAAGACATTTTTTCAGTTCATAGCGAGGAGGAACTGAGAAGAGGATTTTACTTGAAAATATTCTTTGGAAATTCAATTAGGGAATGAGTGGATTTGTTACCTCTTCGCTATTGAATTGAAAATTGTGCAGGGAAATTTGTGATACTGTACTTTATCTTCATCGTCTAGATTTATATTCAATGGAGGCTCGACAATCGAGAGAGGTGCTTCACCGTACGTCCACTCATAAGTTGTTGTATTTCCTTTGTCAATGACATATTGAATCATTGGTACACAATCGTTATCACGACTTCTTCCCAACGTGAATTCCACAAATGTAGAGTAAAATTCAACGACTGGAGCCAGACACTCGACTCTGGCGGATATTTTCGCGTAAATATCTGCCAATTCTCCAACTCTTCCTACCAATTCTCTCTTTATTTTTTGCCCAGGAATTCCTAATTGTTTACACGAATTCCCAAAATCCGTTTTGGCTGTGTTTTCGGATTTTCTACAGTCTAGAGTTTTTTTTTCCAGTTCCTGAATGAATAATAGATTCAGCTCTCAATATAAAAAAACAAATGGAAATGATCTTCTGTTTAATTAATTGCGAATTTTCAACGGTATGGATTTATTGTGCAAGCTCGAGCTCTTGCTGTATTAGCCATGATTCACATGAATCCCCACCGGGTTGAGAGAAATTGAACGCGATTCAGGTGCATCTGAATGGTTTTTAGAACGCCACAATTTTTGGGTGGAAAATTTCTTTGTTGCTCGCTCCCCTTCGAGATATTGAGGTGCATTTTCTCAAATGGGACTTGAAATGATTGTTTCATTTATCACAGACCATTTGAAAGTGTATATAATATTTTTGCAAATTTATTAAGAAAAGTTTAGGACACACTGCAAAAACATGGGCATCGAAAGCGATGCCCGCTGCAGGGTATGCCTTGAGGCAGACGAGGACAGCCTGCATATACTTTGTAGCTGCCCTGCACTGGCTACAACAAGGCTAAATTACTGGGGAACCGCCTTCCCTAGCATCAGCTATGTAGCGGATCTAGACGCCGGGAATCTATTAAAACTGGCGAGAAAAGCTGGCCTAGAATTATAGGGATCAGAAGGACAACGGAGCCACAATAGCCCAGTAGGGGTTCGATGACAAGAGGGCAGCAAATGCCTATCCGTATTTTTAACCATAACCATAACCATTAACAAAAATAATACTTACATTGGCAGTCTGTTCGCATTTTTGTATCTGCTTCTTAAAATTCGGTACTTCATAATTAATATTCCTAATTAACATCTGCGCGGCTTCGGCCAGATACAAATTATCTTTCTCATACAATCGTACAATCTCTTGCCAATCTTTCATACGCTGTGATCCATAACTTCCGAATAAATTCTTCGTGTCAGCTTCAGTCTCTTTTAGTATTTCAATTATCTTTTTACAGTGGAAGTAATTGATATCTGCAAGCAACAATTATCAACTATAATGACTAATCAAACAAAAATAATCACCGAAACTTACGGGTTCCTGTCAACAATTTCGTGATGCCTTCATGTTCGGGCATGTCCTGGATGGCATTATTAATTTTTTCTCTAATTAACAAAATGTTTGTTTGCCACCCGCGTATGCAATGACGCCGATTTATTAACCAATCCAATAATTTTCCAGCGTTGATGTCAATTGGCAGATCTTGCTCCTAAAAAATGGACAAAAAAAAAATTAAATAAAAATGTAAACCAAAAAAATATATAATGGTTATTTTTTATAGAGAATTTTACCGTCATCCTGAACAGAATTAGTTAATCCTCGAATGTATTGTTTGTATCTGCTATTGACATCCAGAGGTTATAACAGCTGTTTACGTTTGCACGTTTATTTCCTCCACCTCCAATAATACGTGGAATCAAAAAGGATTGACTGAAGTAGAGACTCAGTTCTGGGAGTTTAGCTGACCCTAGAAAAATTAAGATGTCATTCCATCGGAGAGATGGCGCCAAAATCGGGTTTGAGGCCTTTAGGTGCTAGGATGGATGTGTTGGCTTACACATCCATCTTTCTGTGTGTCCATTGTCTTTAAATGTATCAACATGTGTTGTCTTTGGGGCTGACAACATCGCCACGTCCTCGTCGTTGCCCTGGATAACGCAAATAGTCGTGTAATAACAGACATATCTCCCAAATTAATTATTTCTCTCTAAAAGTTTCCAGATCCTTAATTAGGTGACGGAAATTCATCTCCAATACACATCTGTAGTGTACTAGACATTTATCCAAAATTTATTTTCATAATCATCATAAGGATGAATTCGCAGTGCATTATCAAACCACTATAAAAAATTCCTTTCTTTGAGTCAGACAATATTTACCTGAAATTGATCGATTAAACGTGTGGATTTTTGAGACGTGGCACATTATGACACACTTGACAAATACCACCTTGAGACATTTCCACCTTGAGAAATTATTACGACATTATTTATTCACATAAAAGCTTTTAATTTTGTTACACTGTTCATAGTATATATAAAAGACGATTAAGACATTGAAATTCATTGCTCTACGCAATTTTTATATCAGAAAAGATGCAATCCCTTTCGATTTTCCCAGATGATTTGTGTGCATTCTGATTTTGTCAGGGGTTTATATTAATCATTTTAATCATGCTATTATTGTGTACAAATACTGCAAAAATTCTCACTAGTTGGTCTGAACAACTTTTATTTCAAGCAATTCATTATTAAACTAATCGCCTACGAGATCTAGGAGTTGGTAAAAAATTACCACAAAATGAAAAAAAATCGCTTTCTCCAATTTTCAGTCATAAAATAATCGAGCTGTCCACAAAATATCTTTAGAAAATCGTTCACTCCACAGAAATAGAATAACCTTAATTGGGGATGATTTCAAGAGAATAAACAATTTTAATAATTATACAAATACACGAGATGAGACGGGCGCCATGTTGGAAATGCCGACAAGATGGCGTACCCATAATTCCGATTGTTTCTATGAGAATGAAAAAATTGTCAAGCTATTTTCCAGAAATTTCAATCACTCTTTGTCTGAGAATTCGTGACGCAAAATTTTATCCATATTCCACCGATTTTTTTTTCCATTTTGTAAAGAGTAATTGATAAACAATGGGACAATTAACACTCTGATCTTCAAACAAAATACGAAGGGCAATGAATTTTATTGCTAGTTCCTCCAGTTTACATCAATCAAATTACAAATGGAAGGAGAAATTTATTAGAATTGATCGAAATTTTCATATCTATACAGTTACAGATAATAGGAATAAACACACGGATCATTCGAAATAAATAACCACATTCTGAGACCCCTGAAACTGGCATCAAGAAAACACAAGTGAGCAGTGAAAAAACATTGTTTATCATTGCCTGTATCCTGAGAAATTGGGGTACATCCCTGCCACTTTCAGGAAAAATACAATTGTTTTATCTTCTATCTGATTGATTTTGGGTTCAGAGTCTCTGATAAGATTTGTGATCAGTGAAGAAATTCTTGAGTACCAGAACTTGTCCGACTGTTGTTATGAGGATGGCAGCTGTTTCCATAATTGACCACCACAGGACACGTTCATTCAAGTCCTCGGCGCGTTTGCGGCCTTGAGCTTCTCGCAATCTGTGAGACGTTTGATAGTCCACCGTGCGGATTAAGTTTTTGTGAATGTCCTGAGCGTACGTCTCCATCTGAAAATATCATAAAGGTGTGACGTAATTACGTGGAACTTGGTGATATTGGAGTACAATGAACATCCATTAAAAATTATTCCGTTCTCAATCCATATGGAAAATTTGTCAATATATTTTTTGATATTCTGGAAAATTGTTATACCATTATTTATAAATATTCGCGATATACTTCACACAATTATTCGAAATATTGCGAAATATCTATTTAGATTGAACTGCAATTTCTTACCTGCGTCATGACAGTGACATGTTCTTCCAATCCAGGCAATGCATCCTCATCGCCAACTTGGAAGTCCATATAAACTAATTTGTGTGAAAATGTTGAAAACTCATTACTGAAACACGCCTTGTATGCACCACTATGTGTCGCTACAAATGTATGAGAGTCAAATTGAGTTTTGATTTGACGATAAATTAATTCTTTATTGGGAGCTTCGAGGGTCACGTCGATGTCATATTGACCACCAGTCACAACCTGAGAACCAAATTATCAAAATTAATAGATTCTGAACTGAATATTTTGTCACGACTAAAGAATAATTATTTGCATTCGTCATTATTTCAGTATTCAAGGTCAATGATGAAGTGCAGACGTGAGTAAAATGCAGTTTGAGGTTATGAATAATTATTGATACCTGAAATTCCACAGTTGCTGACTGATTTGCTTCGATATCTTGATAGAAACATTCCTTGGCGTTGTCTGGTAATTCGAATGTCAATTCAACACAATCAACGAGTAATAATGATGACAGAAGGGAGACAACAACTAGCCACGTCGTCCAATAGTCCATTTTCCGAGTTTTGTGTGAATATTTTCAAGATAAAAAACGAGTCAAATACACATTCAGGTGTATAATTATAGTATTTTGTACCTTTCGCGTTTGCAATGAATCGAGAGACTATTTTTTTAATCACTCCCGGCCACCAAAATTTACGTGAAACAAGCTATTTTAACGTGGCCGGATATGTTGCTGCATTCTATTTATCTTTGAAATTTAACGGCGACATCTGGAATTTATTGTCAACACGGCGACAACAGGAATTTATTGTCGATATATTGCCATCTGTGACAACCAGGTATTTACGAACAAAATTTACTCATGGCTCGCACGAAAGGAAAACGCTATATAACCGAAATATATATTTTTTTATTTTTGGTTGACGCGTATACCTTTCCGAGTTTTTACATTTCATTCCTTTCCATGAGAAAACCTCAAGGACAATCGGCCGATAGTGTAGGGTTCTAGTGCAGCCTTCTGTCACACTAACTAGAAGGATATGATCGCACTGGAGAAATTTCAGTCATGACTTTCAGAGGGAGGGGTCAAGGGTATGACCAAAGGGCATTGACTATACTAAAGTCAGCATAAGTTTTTACTTCTCTGGGTACCCCCACTCCACGTAGTTACCACTTGTAACCATGTCTCCCACTCCTAAAATCAATGTTAAAACTTATGCTGACTTCAGTATAGTACTGCACCCCAAGAGAGGGAGGGCGCCACCCGCAATGAGGATGTCTGCCCGTCAGCTGACTCAGGAACTGCAAGAAAATTTTCGTTCGTACATTCGCTCATTAATTTTAAAAAATTAATAAATTGTTTTCTTTGACGCTGCACGACGAGAATTTAAAGTAGCTCAATTGCCGTAAATCAAGGGTCTGTGTATTGTTTTATCAATTGCAGGTTTGTATTTTTGTAGGTTAGGATAGGTTCATTGTTTACATAAAGTGCATGTTTACATAGAAATGTTGTTTTATGCCGGTTTGGCGGCATCTCCCCGATTGTTTGGTTACAATGAGGACATCGTGATTAGTAATGGATTTTTGGAACTTCCGGATGATATTTCTGGGGTTGAAGTACAGTGGAATTACTTTTTGGTGTGGAAAGGAACGGAATTGTTCATCTCTGGGAATTTCGGAGTGGGTGATGAGATCAGGCAGTTGGCGTTAACTGAGGGAAATGAAGAAAATTAAGTATCAGAATTAAACAAATAATTTGAACTGTGGATTAAAACACATTGAATCTATCATACTTGACCTACTGTTTCAATTTTTAGATTCACTCTGGCTTTTCCAGATAAAGAATCTGTCACGATTGTCAGTTCGACCCACAGAATTTGGCAGTACAAGATTTACGAGAGTCAGTGGAGACAAGTAGACAATTTCTTACCCACCAATGATGAAAATCTAGATGAGTTTATCACAAAGATTGATAAAAACAGTTCCGTAGTCGCCCTGACAAATTTGGGTTTGTAGAGGGATAAATCATCTGATGATTTTCAAAATTTAATATTTCATGGATTTTAGGAAGGATTTTTAATATACCAAACTTGATTGACATGCCAAAAAGAGTTAAATTCGTGGACGTTGCTTGTGGATTCGATCATTCGATCATCCTAGCTGATAATGGGGATGTTTACTCTATGGGGATGGGCACGTAAGTATTTTCTTTTTTTTCATCACGATGTGCCGAAAAGTAACTTTCCCGCACACTGTGCAGAAATAGTCCATTTCTTAACGAGTGTGGAAACGTGACTTTTGGCGAATGGGATTATACCACTCGCCATCGATTCATGCTTTAAACATCCCACACACAAAAAATCACTTTTCCGCACTTGTTACGAAATATACTATTTTCTTATCATCGAATACCGTGAACACTCAGTAATTCCTCAGGCTTGGGGGTCTGAATTTTTTGGGGAAACCAGCAAGATCTTTATGAACCGAAAGAGATCCACATACGTGCACTAGTGGGGATCTCAGCTGGTAAATATTACTGCGCACATTTCTCGCACTTGAGAGGGAGAACGGGAGACATTAGACAGAGAATGCTCAATGGACACAATGTTAGAGTGGGGGAATAATTCTCCTTATGCGGTGAGACATTGTGCATTTAGACGGGTGAGCAATTACTGAGGGCTCACTGTACGTGATACTTGACACGAAGAATTTTGTCGGTATATTACCGAAACTACTTGTGCTATCCCATGAAAATTAATTGCTCGCAAAAGTACGTGTTTGTCTAATTATTTTTAGGAGAGGACAGTTGGGACATGGTGATTTAGAAGACTGCGATGAACCAACTTTGATCGAAGCCCTGGCTGGCCTAAATGTTATTCAAATTGCTGCTGGTGGCTGGCACAATGCAGCACTTACAAATGATGTATTCCATTCAATTACTTCTGACTATTAATTTAAATCGAGTTAGTGAGAGCGTTCGGTTTTCGGTAAATGTGGAGATTAAGGCTCTCACCTATTTTTCGTCACCGGAGTAGTATAAAATCAATCTACATGAAAAATTCAGACATAAGAGTACAATTCCATGAGAAAATTTCAAATATATAAAAGAATGGAATATTTTCAGGGGGACGTTTACATCTGGGGGTGGAATTCAAGTGGAGAACTTGGGGTTGCGAGTGATCAAAAGGTGATAGCAGTACCCACAGTAGTAGATTTCACCACTGATGATGGAGACATGAATGAACCTATGAAGAAAGTTCAATGCGGAAACAATTTCACGATATGTCTGTCAAGTAATAACTCTTTATTTCCCTTAGACATTATTCTGCCAATGAGAAATTAATTCTAATTAATTTGCAGATGAGGGGACACTCTGGGGTGCTGGTTGTAATAAATATGGTCAGCTGGGGCGGTCCGAGAGAAGCTCAGAAAATAAAAATTTTATCAAATTGCCGACAAATTTTGGAAGCAAAAGAATTGTAGATGTTATATGTAATGAATGGGGGAGTGTATTGAATGTTCAATAAATTGTTGCTAAGGAGTGAAAAATAACACACGATATGTTCATCATTTTTATTAATTGGTTTTATTAATTTTTTTTTCCATATTTTGTTCAATATTTTCAGAAAATAACACTCCAAAGCGAAAAAACCGTATATTCTCACCAATCCCAATGTGTGTATAATATATATTATACTTTTTTCATATATATAATATTTATATATATATATTCATAATAAATGTGGAGTAGCGCACACTTTAGACTGTTATGTATCGATACCGTTATAATTTTACCGATAAATTACAAATATTGAAAAACATGAAACAGACACAGAATTAATCGACGAGCGACAATTCATTTCTAATAGTCCAAGCGATTTTTCACCAATTACTCCATCCACCCTATCTCATTATCCGGATGCAACTGATCAAGTGTTTTATCAGTTCACTGATATCGGGGTGATCTCGACCTCGACATTTACAATAATTATATCAATTGAAATAGAATTTACATCGAAATTAAATACGAATCACAGATCGGTAACAGATGAGACTCGAGATCACTTCAATTCATCACCACAAATTTAATTACAATGCGATGAAATTCGTTAAAATCTACAGCGAATGGTAAAACACTTGTGCCGTTGTGTAATTGAAAAATTAATGCGAGTAGAAATGACAAATCCCTCGTCGTCAATCTGAAGTTTACTTATTATATTTGTTTTCACACCGAAGTCAAAAAGGCAATACGCAGTATGAACTTACCTAATAAATGTGTGTATCAATTATGTGGTATTTTTTTTTTTGCTTTACAACTATTTTACGGTTTGTGGTTTGTCATTCTCATGTTTTATTCAATAAAAAACTCATGGTTTCGTGTTCAGTTTCTCTAGGTTCTATACAACGCGTTCTTCACTCGAGCGCATCGAATTCATAGCAGAGATGGCTTTTTTTTTTTTTTTTTGGAAATGAGGAATTTTTGGAGGGGACACTGGGTGATTACAGGGAGCATTCGAGGTTCTACATCGAGAGCAGTTGTATATGCGCAGCAAACAGAATTTAAATAAGTTTATCAGAATGCAAAGTAAAAAATTGACAATTATTTTCGTATTTTCTTGTGGCAGCGAAAACTCAATCTGAGAAATCGATTCATTTATGCCTTTCCTAATTTGCTATTGAATGGATGATTTATCCGGTTTAACGCTTTTTTTATGGTCTCATTTTATTCCACAAAACTCCAAGTTTTGGAAGCCCATATGAATAATAAGAATTTTAAATAAAAAAATTAGGATTAAAGTGGTGAATCCCATGTTCTGGGAGAATTGCTCTGGGCAATTGAATAATTTTTTTGTCGAGTCAATCGAAATATTAATAAAAAAGAAAATTCCCAATCCTCTCTACAATTTATTCCACCGAAATATCTCTTCAGTTTTTGTTTCTTCGATAGAAAAACTGAAAAAAGAAAAATATCGAAATTCACAACCAGAAATTTCTGTGTAAATCATCTCAATAAAATAAATGAATATTCTCGATCGAAAATTTCCACAGAAAAAACAGTTGAAATTGTCGACAGAATCCCTCCAGAAAATTTCGAGTCAATTAATGATTGAATGAAATGAATTTCCATCGGTGCACTGAAAGAAAAACCGATAAACATAAACATAAAATGAACAGAATAACAAAAAAATTAATATTTTCAATTCGATTTTTATTGAAAATAATACAACAAAATGTTTCATAATGTAATAATAATAATAATTAATTAAAAATAATTAATATTTATAGATACGTACTTGTCTTACTTGGTATTACCTAGATAATCGTGTCTTAAAACGGCATTTTATTTAAATAATAATCATATGATCATCCGTAATTAATGAAACGTGATAAAACAATATAATAAAGAGACAATAAAGTTAATAATGATCGATATATCTAACCGTAAAATCATGAATCAATAGACAAACTTAATGGCCTAATTAACCATGAAATTATTGTATTTATTCATTGTCGTCGTCCTCTCGACCACATTATTCATGAATAGAACGTATCAATTGTTTCATATCCTTTGATTTATCCAGTTGTATTGTAAGCTTTTTCATTAATCTTTCGTTCATCGTCTAGCAAGTAATAATGAGTAATTAATTAATTAAATTACACGTTGCTTGGATATGCACATAGAGATATAAAGTCATTTTTGGTCCCACCTAACTGCAAACATTATATTCATACATTTTTTTCATTATTCTTCTGAATGTTGGGCTTTGTACGCGTGCAATTGCGCGTACGTGTCAGAAAAAAAAAGAGACTTTTCTCGCTTTTGTTTTTTTGTTGTTAGCACGATTACCCCTTGCAATTATCATTCCTCAACATCATCTCATTCAATTTCCATTTATTCTCAATCATCGGAGCCAGTGAATTATCCATGTATATTTTAAATTTAGCTAAATCATCACTGGGAAACAATTCCTCGCCTTAAATCTACAACTGGCATTTGTTGTATTTCTTTTCTATTACCAATTACACTAAATTACCTAATAAAATTATATATTCTCACTATACATATCGATTCAATTAATCGAATTTGAATTTATACGTCAATTAATCAACAGCCAATTGCCAAATTATCTTTTTTTTTTTTTACCATTCAATTTTTTTAATTTTTATCATTACAATAATAAGGCTATACAATTTTTACCATATTCGTCGCAAATACTGGTATATCAGTCTCATTTACCTCAATTCTATGTCTTCCTGGGGAATACGCAGAACCAAACTCTAGATTAATGCCAGTTGTATTTGTCTTTAATTCTTCAACCGGTGACAGTGCGTGCGAGAGAAAATAGGAATTGGTAAATCTGATTTCGAGATAATCGAGATTCGATGCTTATCATTTTATCAATTCTCTCCACCACATGCCCCCAGTGCGGCGTGTTAAATCAATCATTTAACATATCCTCAATGTTAACTAATAACTTCACAACCATTTCGACAACAACGAATCATCAACAAATTAAGAGTCCAGATAAAATGATAAATTATTGTTGAGAAAGCCCTCGAACTGCCACGACCTACCACGACTCCTATAAATTAGATTGCGTTTGCAATTTGAAAAAAAAAAAAAAAACATACGTCGGGGGAGTCCTGGGCTGACGTCGGCAGACGTATCACATTCTATAATCGTGAATCGCAATTTTACGGTGGCGTCTTCCACTCGAATTTATTTCAACTTAATTCGCAAAGAAATGGGGGAAAATAAAAGCTTTTTCATTTTTCATTGGAATTTTCATTTTTCCCCATCAATCATTTTACAAGTTCTTATCAATAACAAAAATCTATCATTTTCCAGTTGTTTTCATTTTGATCGCACAGTCGATATCTGAATTTCTGAGGACTAGGGCGAAATGCAAGACCTTTAATTATTTATTCAAGACTCAATTTTGCAGGTTGCCGCCATTCCATTTTGCCCTGCCCTTCAATAATTCAATTGTTTGCTGTTAAAAATTTCTGACGTGTTATTATAAATAAAAAATGGCGATAAAATTCATGGATTCTCCGCCGTCGACCATTAAATCCCAATTTGTCCATTAGCCAGTGAAATATCTCGGAAAAATGTATCAATATATAAATTTGCAATTATTTTGGTCTAATGCGTAATCGTGTTTATGTAAAAATGAGTTCTGTATACAAGTGTATATTATATCCATCGTCTTGTTATTCACACGTTGAAAATCAGGATTGAGGGTTATAATCTGTCATTGAATTCATTTGTAATGTCGGTAATATTTATTTGCCACATGATTTTCATTTACACACAAAGGAAATAAAAAAAAAAAACCGTTGAACTTCAGTACGTAATCCTCACTCACTTGGACGTAGGGGCACCAAAATGAGAAATTAAAAAAAAAAAAAGAAAAAAGAAGAATCGATCAATTGAAAATAAACAATAATGAAAAATAAAAGAAAAACTAAATGTTCATTCCACTGAATATATTAATAATACGTTCGACAATTGTTAATTGCTGGCATTAATAAAACAATTACGATAATTCGTTATCTAGATAAATTTTTGTCTTGTCTGTGTTGTATTATTCATGATTTCATCCTTCATTAAATAATAACTGGTAAATTCATATAGAATATAAAAAATATTTTTCCGATGCATTCTAACTACCTAAATTTACACGTATAAAACACATGCGTTCATCACGCATTTTCTTGCCATTTCTTCATTTAATTATTTTTTTTTTTCATCATTTTAACTTTAATTTTTAATTGTTTTTCGTTATGATTATAATCGAAAGGACTTACGTAGTTTATCATCCTTCTAGGGGTGGAAGTATGAACAAATAATAGCAATAATAATAACGTCTACGACGGACGGTGGGTAGATCTTAAAGGGGAAATATTATAGGGAAAAAATGGGAAAAGGGACAAAGAGATGCGACTTAAAGACGCAATACCACGATAAATCGAGGAAAAATAATCGATTGCATGAAACGCGACCTCGATATATCAAGCCAAGGCCAAAAATATCCACTAAATACTACATAATAATAACGAAAAAATAATAAGGAAGAACGCATATTAAAAAATGAATAAAAACAATAATTGAAATAATTAATCTACAATGAAAAAATATAAAACGTCGTCTCGTTGATTACTTAATAATTACACTGTCAGGTATCTGCATACGTTCTGTCTGGATTGTACTTGAAAAAAAAAAATATTAAGAGAAAATAGTTAATTGCTCGGGTAATATAAAGTTTAACAAAATGGGGAGGGGGCGTTAAAATTAAACAGAGCAGAAAAATCTACAACAAGTGCTTAGGGAATTAATTGGATAACTTAAAGTAGATTATCGAGGTTAAAATTGATAGAGATAACGGGTAAGACTGGCTCGATGTGGAGAGGAATCATTCTCGAATGAATTATCATTGATTAATTAAAAATCTAGACGAGTGAAAATACAAAGCGATAATTGGTACGCGGGGGAGGAATTATTCGCGATTAAATCATGGGATTGGGACGAGTTATTTTGATATCTTATTGACGATAACAAAATTCTCCATCCGCTAATCAAGAAAACACCAGAAAACGCGGGGATTTCTGTCTCTCTTTTTTTTTTTGGAATGAGCACTCCTGCATGAAACCTTCAATTGCACCCTATCGGCCATATTTATACAATTACACGTTAAAGTCTCGTGGTTGAGTGGACCTAAACCCTCCGAATGCTGTGAAAAAATAATAATAATAACACGGGGAAAGAAGTTGGCGCTATCCCCCTGGAATGAATCTTGGAATGAATGATTTTCTAGAAAAAAAATGAACAGAAACGAAAAACAAAAAAAGGAAAAATTGGAAATGCATTAGCCTAGCGCGAGAACGAGAACGCTGTACACATCCCTCATTTTTCTCTCTTTTAATTCCACATGAACACATTTGATTATTTTTTTTTTTGATTGTAACACTCCTAAATTTCCTAACATCCTCCACTCCTAATCACCAAAAAAAACCCTTTTTTACAAAATTTCAGCAACAAAAATATTCTCGCCCTCATTCAGCAATCCATGTTGAATAAAACAGGAAATAAGTACATCATCGAAATAAAAAAAAAAAAAACAGAGTTGACACAGGAGAGAATGGAAATATAAACTCTAAAAATTGCACAATCGGTCTCAATAAATCAACTTAAATGAAAAGTTCTCGTATACGCGGCGCTTGATCCTAATTTCACGACCCCTACATTAACAATAAAAAACATTAAAAAATGAAAAAAAAAAAGAAGGAAAAACGAATTTAAGGAAAATAAACTGATGCGTAAGACCATACCGTTAGCGTAAGTAAATGGGCACAAACACATCCTCAACATTTTTTTACGTACGTATACAGTAAATAGTCTCTGTCCTTTCGTTATGTCCGAGTGTTCAGTGAATGGAGATGTCACAATAATTTTTCACACGAATTATGTTACATTACAATCGCCATCACTCACTTGTTAAAGATAAATTTCTCCTCATTCACATATACATATACATATTTATATATTACATATACACTTTCCATAATTTTTCATCGATTTTCCAGATAATCATGCGCATCCAGTTGCATCCACAGTTAGTCCAGTATACGTTTATTAATTCCGTCTAAATATTAGTGCAATTAAATAATGCTTGTTTTTTTTTTCGACAATTCAATGAATTTTTGAGTACTTGGTGCCGAGTAACGGACCTGGACGATAGTTAAGCCGTACAATAAGTCTTATTTATCATTTTTTCATCTTTCAATAAAACGAATAAAATCGCCGTATATTAATGCATAGGTATGTATGTATATATATATGTATACAAATATATAAATATATATAATATACACATGTATCACTTTGACCTGTTAACGGTTTCGGCTAACTTGCACACATTGTTACAACAGTACCTAGTCACTCGTGCCACTTTTATTTTCTCTATTCAATCAAAAGTTTTTTTTTTCCCCCTTTCCTGCCTTTTTTTTTTTTCATCAACGATCGGAGTAATTTAATCAATCATGAACCAGTAATCGCTAGTGAATGCGTACTTATCAGCTATTTCATACTTAATTTTACTGTAATCATAATAACAATAATTAATAAGAGATGATTATTTGAAAATCATAAGTCATCGTTCTGCAATGACAATGATAATAAGAATTAATATGTATTCTGTTGCTGTTTAAGTGATTTAGGTGGTTTTTTTTTTTACCATTTTCTGTTATTATTCTGGATTACTATTGTATTTTAATGTCTGTGTTTTCGGGATGCGGCTGTATTTCTATATTTGTCCTATGTTAATGCGGAAATAACCAGAGGATTGGTCATGGGAAAAATTGTGGGAATATTGGTTTTTCATTTTTTAGAGAGGAGTTCAGGCACTCCTGAGACAGATCATTTACAAGTCAATTATTCTATTAGTCGCGTTTGCACCTCGCGTGTTATACTGGTAAATTTTTAATCATCCATTAATGCATATTAACTGTTAACTTTCGGAATTGTGAAAATTGATAATGCCCTCGCTTCATTATTCTATTAATTCATTTGTCTCTATGAAAATTCATATTCTACTGCGGTTTTGCGGTAATAAATAAAAAATAACGAAAACCTACAGTTTGCTTGCGAAGCGGAATGATAAATAATGATAATCATACCTGTTGTTGTTGTTGTCGGATTGAGAGAAAACGAGGGAGATGTTGTTTCTTCGAGTTCAGCCCTCTTTTTAATAATTTGACATTTTACAGATTTTTTTTTTGCTGATTCAGACTGTCAAGTTCTGTCAATTCTTGCAAAGAAAGTTTTTTATAACTTTGGACAGCAATTTTTTATGCTTGAGTGGAATTCTAATTTCACTCTGCGTCTGGATTTTAAACTAATACTTTACAGCCTAGACCGGAAAATTATACGCCTCGTAGAGTTGTATAGAGATTTTTTCTTCTGTATTTGTAAAGAAATATTTTAAGAACTCCCTCAGGGCCTGTTATTTACCGGCCTGGGCTGTAAAACGAACATTCCCGTCCTAGGCTGTAAAATTTCACTTTACGGACGCCAATAATTTTTAATCAAATTGAAACAAATGATCACTGATTTCTGAAATGTTTCCATGCACGAAATATCGTGTACGCGTAATGTATCCGTAACAAAGACATGGACCAATAATATTTCACCGCGGATTGAAAAAAAAAAAAGCGGGTACACCAATGCGGGAGGTAGAATAACCTAAGAGAATTATCTACAAATAAACAAATAAATCCCTGGGGGTATTCCATTGACGATGTAGAAAGCTCCACGCAATCGTCAATACATTTTCCATTCCGTAGAGGTTATTTTTTTTTTTGTGTATTCCACCCGCAGGGGCTGGCGACCGAACGGGTAATTTCTCTCCTCGTTATCTCTCGTTTGTAACAGCAAAATTCACGGATAATAAACTCCCAGAAATCGAAAGAATTATCATCCTCTACCATTTGTTTTTCTCACGCTTTGCTTTGATCCTTACATAACTTCACGGTTACAACAATTGGTTATCTATTTGTTTCATTTTTATTTGTTTATTCTTGTTATTTTTCAAGAGAATATAAAAAATCCTGTGGCACATTGACGGTTGGAATGTTACTTTGTTTCATCTTTTTTTTTTCAAATTTTTCTTTAAAATTCAATAATTGATAATTAATAATAATATAGTACTTCTTCGCATCATTAATAATATACTTTTTTTAAATATGTTTAATGTATGTTAATATAATAATTTGTATATATATTTCATATATATACCTTTTTTTGTTTATTTATAATAGTATAGTTTTTTCTTTCTTCTGCACTTATTTTGTTTACATAATGTGCTGACTGCAGGTTTTGATTTGAGGGGATTTTTCGTTCAATCTCGATATATCGACCGAGACAGAACGATTCCGCATTTGCTTCACTCTGTCATTACTCATTTTATTACTTCAATGTTATTTGTTTTGTTCAGTTATCACTGCTGGATATGGCGTATAATTAATATTGTTGTACATGCGCTGTATTATTTTTTAAATGTTTATATTTTCAACGACGTCTGCACAAATCGTGGAGAAAACGTCGATCAATGCCTATTGTTCGTATATTATGTGTTGTTGCCGGTTTATTATTTATATTGAAAAACTTGAATTGCGTCGCGATACCGATGAGTTTGCAATCGGAATCGGATAGATGGAGCGACTGCGCCGACTGGTGTCGCTTGGGTATTTAAACCGGGGATTCCCCCGTGTATCTACTCTCCCACTAACCTAAAACACTATTGGTTCTTTGTGATATGCACTCTCATTGGTCATGTTCCACGCGGAATTTCAGGTGTTTTATTAAATTCATCGATTGATTGTTCGTGATGAATCCCCAGGGGGTTAAATACCCAGTGACGGACAGTGATCGCAATGTCGCTTGAACTGTAAGGAGACGACCTGGTACCTGGTTTGCTGTATTTCTTGCGGTGAAATACATACTGTAGAGAGCAGACTGTTGGTTGTAATGTAGTTTACTTCAGACTGTGTGTGTTTGTGTTGCTATTGCGTGTGTCAGTAATAATGTGGGCCTTTGTGTGAGCTTATCAAACTGTGGGATCAATTGCGCTGGGGAATTCAAGGGACTATTTGCAGTGTATGACATGTGGATTCAGTACTTGGGTTAGGGAGTTTGTTGAGGGAATCAAAATGGAATGTTATTTTCCTTTCTTATTCTTGCGAAATGGCAGGGTGGGTTGAAGATTATTTTTTTTTTCACCTTCACTCGAGCAGTTTATATTATTCATATTTTTTGTAGTGGGATTGCTTGACCTCGGCGTTCTTTGATGTACGGGCATCCGTCGATTTTACCATTATTTCACATTTAATTCATCACATCGGATCAGAAATTCATTTGATTAGGGTGGGGGGCTGTCGGATATTTACATTTTTGAGGGGGAAATTAGGGAAGTTGGTTCAGAACTAGCACCAAATCTACCGAGTCTTGGTCCACTGTAGTTTGATACGTTATATTTCAATTTAATGTTGATCGTGCTGGATTTTTTGGAATTATTCTTGGAGGTTAGAATTTTTAGACGAATTCACGAGCCACGGGGATCGGTGGATGGGAATGCCGGGGTCAAGCTTTTATAGTGACAGTATAGAAAAACACGATATACAAACAACTAAAGCGCCACGCCATGGGGTACCA